CTTAGGAAGCCCTTAGGTTTCAGTTTCTCAGAGAGCAAACAATTACACAATGACAAAGGCCATGACTGGCTCCCCTTCAAAACCTTGCTCTGATTGGCCACTTCCCATAGTGCTCACCAATTGGTGAGCTTAGAATCCTTCAGATTTGCATATCTGGCACCTCATGATTGGTCCACAAAAGCAACCAATCATAACCCACCTTTTACAAGCCTTCATTTACATATAGAACAACCAATCACCACTCACCAACATGTATATAACCACGATCCCTGGCCCACAATAAACAGATGACCCTGAAGACTTGTAACACTGTGTCATCCTTGTGCTATAACATTGTGCCATTTGTCCTTCCCGTCTCTCACTCCTTCCCTCAGGAAACCTGTTTGACTGTCCTGCAGGTCGGTCGAGACACATCTTGACCCCAATTAGCAAAGTCCAATCCCTGCGCTGCCTCTGTAAGATTTTTTAGCCTTGGGACCAGTAGTTAGCGTAATGGCTATGTGGCTGAACTCCCATGTAGTCAACCGTGGTTTGAGTCCCAGACCCAGTGGCTTGAACTCATGCTGGGCGCGTGTGCGTGCATGCCCAAGATCCCAAGAGGAGAATGGAGAAGAAGGGATTGTGGTGTGGCCATCCCCCCAGGGGGTGATTTCTCACTTTCTGTCTCTGTCTTTCTGGCGAGCGCACGTGCCCTATGGCAAAAACCTCTCAAAAAAAAATAAAATAAAAAGATTCTTTAGCCTTATCCAGGCATGGTGATGCCCACCCTATGGCAAGATTCTTTTCATTTATTTTTTTTTGTGGGGGAAGGGTTGCTATAGGGCACTTGCACTCAAAGAGAGACAGAGAGATAGAAAGCGAAAAATCAACCCCCAGGGGGGATGGCCATGCCACAATCCCTTCTCCTCCGTTCTCCTCTAGAGATTTTGGGCACATACACATGCCCCCAGCATGAGTTTAAGCCACTGGGTCCAGGGCTCAAACTGCAGTCGACTGCATGGGAGTCCAACGACATAGCCATTACGCTAACTGCTGGTCCCCTATGGTGAGATTCTTTATCCTTATGTATCCTCCCCACACCTGCAGCTAGGCTTCTCTCCATTCGAAAAGATTAATGAGATTTCTCCTCGATGTGACTATCGCCAAGGGATGCACCTGGCCCAGTATGTCTAAGCCCTCATAGACTTGTTACCTGCTTCTATCGTCTGTTAACACATCAACATATCTATGGAATGTCATGAAATACACATACATAGTGTCACCTTGCCCTATAAATAAAAGCGCCCATTTTGTCTGGGCAGCACAAGTTTCTGGCTACCTAGGCTCAGGCTGCCTGTGTCCACTGGTACTCTGTCTCTTTCTTTCTGTTTCCCCTTAGATAGCGCCAAGTCCGGGGCGGACACCAACATAGTAGGGTACATTGTGGTTTGTAAGCAGCGCCTAATTTGAAAGTTAAGCAAAGAGTTAAGAAAGAGAAACACGTAAGTTTGGACAGTAAAGCAAGAAGGGAAA